GTGATTTATGAAATAATGAAGCATTTATGCCATTAACCTTTTTGCGATGGTCATCTTTGTTTAAGACGCTCGTGCGGGACGGAAGGGAATCGAAGGCAGTCACCGTACAGGACGGAGGTTTTGCATAGCTAAACCTAATTTTATAAAAAAAAGATCAGAAAACAAAAGTTTCGCCTCTAGCATCATAATTTTTTGAATTCTTTTAGATTATTACTTGAGCTCTTATATATGTTAAAATTAGCACTTAATAACCTTTTTTTCTGTATTTTACATGAAAATATACTTAAAAAATTGCTTGTCTTGTAAAATAATTTTCAGAAGCACTATTCAAATTATTCCACAGTTTTAATTGATAAAATCCATCAATAAAGTTTTAAATTAATAAAATAACACAAAGACTATTTACAGTAAGAAGTAAAAATTTAAAATGAAGACTGTGGTAAATCACAATGTACGGAGAAGTATCACTTTCTAACTCTTAGAAAAAGTATCACTTTCTAACTCTTTAGAAAATGAATCATCACTCTCATCTGCGTTAATAAATGGTTCATTGACCATACGAGGGTATTCTTCCTATGGTAAATAGCGCCTTTTCACTATAATAGACTGGAAGTGAGGCTTACCGAAATAAAAAGAGCAGAAATGGAAATATATCTGAAGGGCAATGCAAAACGTAACAGTACTCCACATACTAACCCTAAAAGAACATATATAGTAAAGGAAAAAATAGAATAAAAAAAGGAATTGGATATAAATCAGACACACAAATGTTTTCTTTAGCATGCAGCGATTTAAAGAGCTCACCTCTGTTTACGTTTTCCCTCCACCCTCGCAAAAGCTGATGAGTAAAATACCAAAGTCAAGCAGAATATATCAAACTCAAGGTCAGGAACTGAAAACTGTGTTCATTTCAAAAGTAATGGACATAGGATGCCATCTAGTGGCTTTCAGAAAAACGTTCCAGCTTAAAATGCGCATACGCATCACACGTCCTCTGAATGCAACCTCTAGCAATGCGTGGCTGGGACGCCCAGTTATAAGAGATGTTCTTAGGGAATGCGTATATGGGACGCCCGTCCTGAAAGTGTTAAGGAGAATCCAAATTTACCAAAAAAGAAAAAAAAAGAGATTTCGGTAATTAAGGCACAATAACATGCCGAGCAAATACTAATTCAGAAGTCAAACAACAAAAATCAGCGTTATATTTTCAAATTTTCACAGGACTAGTTTCGATGGTGGTTCGGTAAAACCATCGAAACTAGTCTTGTGAAAATTTGAAAATATAATGCTCATATTTGTTGTTTGACTTCTGAATTAGTAACTCAGTATTTGTTTGTTTGCTTTATTTCTTTCAACATGTTTAAGCTGCTTCATTTTCTAGGACTAATATTTTCTCTTTAGTTCTATAGATAGTCATAATTTCTTGTTAAGTCCCATTGCTCAAGTTCTGTAATTGCAGTGTCGAGAATTCCAACTAAATTATCTAGTGACATTTTTTTTTTTCATTCTCAACAACCTCTCTGTCACTTTCTTCACTAATTATAGCAACATTTACTGGATTTAGAACCATATTACAGATTTCTCTATCCATTAGTTGAAGTAAGACCCGAGCATCAGAATCTCAATGCAAAACTTCCGTTACCACCTTAAAGTATTACCCTTCTCCATATTTCTCTACAAATTCCATTACTTGGAAAATTTCAATTTTTGTTTCTATCTGAAAACCTTTAAACTCCCAACTATTATCATAAAGCTTAGTTAGCTTTACACTGTTGGTGATGTAACATGAGACTGGCGGCTAAATACATGTCAGTCCATTAAATTTTATCTTCCTTATATAGCAAGGTGACAAAATACATATGCCTATTTTCTGCACATTTTTTTAACCCTGGATAAATAATTTCATACAGATATTTAAGGCTTATTCAGGATTGACACTAGATATTTTGCGGTCCGGCGCAGAGGCCTAAATTCTGTTGCCAAGTGCCTCGCTAAATTCTAATTTTGCAACCCCTAAATTTTGCATCCTAAATTGTAAAGATTTTGCTATCCCTTAATTTTATTGTTTGATGCTTATTTAAATTCCAAAAATTTTACCTTCACTAAATTCTGCCACCTGGTGTAGCTACACCAGATCTGGTGCCATTCCTGGGCTTATATTAATAACAAATCAGCTATTATTAATTCAAACAGCACTAAATATAATCTTCTGGCCTATAAGTATCATTTAAAAATCTATTTTTTGATCATGAATTGAAATTTCTCCTCCTCAACATAAATTTTTAATAACAAATCTGAGTAACTTTTCAGAATGTTATGACAATACGCAATTTGTCTATATGTTATGTACCATATTTAGTAACATTTTTCTTCTCTTTGCATACTTTACCCCCTAGTTCTTTTCAGCATCTGATTTAGAAATCTGTGATTTATGGGAACAATGTAAAATGTGTGCACAAATAGAAAGTATTTTATGCAATTAAAAATATTATTGAAATTAACAAGTTCTTTGAAATACCTTATATAATAATATTAGTATGTCTTGTCATGTGCTTTTTTTATTTATCATTAAAGCTGCTTTTTCAGATACAGTAAACACTACATATTTTTCTCCTTGATTTTCAAGAGGTAAAATTGGTAGGAAAAAAGGGAGATCTGTAAATAAATATACATATACCAGGTGATCAAAAAGTCAGTATAAATTTGAAAACATGATAAATCACGGAATAATGTAGACAGAGAGGTAAAAAGTGACACACATACTTAGAATGACATGGGGTTTTATTAGAATAAAAAAAAATGTTTCGGTATGGGTTGGATTGTACCACATCTACTGTTATCGGGCCTTTTTCCTTCGAGGAAATGTGTGATTCTGGTTTTGTAACTGCTACCGTGACGGGGTGAGAGGTACGCCGATATGTTACAGAATGGTATCGTCCCCAGCCTGGCTGATAAACACCTGCTGGAACGTACGATTTTTATACAGGATGGCACTCCACCCCACCCCATATGCTAGACGCGTGAAAGATCTCTTGCACGCGTCATTTTGTGATGATCGTGTGCTCAGCCGCCACTTTTCATCATGCTTGGCCTCCTCTGTAACCCCCCCCTACTCAGTCCGTGCGATTATTGGCTTTGGGGTTACCTGAAGTCGCAAGTGTATCGTGATCAACCAACATCCCTAGGGATGCTGAAAGACAACATCCGACCCCAATGCCTCACCATAACTCCGGACATGCTTTACAGTGCTGTTCACAACATTATTCATCGACTACAGCTATTGTTGAGAAATGATGGTGAACATATTGAGCATTTCCTGTAAAGAACATCATCTTTGCTTTATCTTCATTTGTTACGCTAATTATTGCTTTTCTAATAAAACCCCATGTCATTCTAAGTATGTGTGTCAATTTTTACCTCTCTATCTACATTATTCCGTGATTTATTAAGTTTTCAAATTTATACTGACTTTTTGATCACCCGGTATATTAAATATTCACCCCATATATCTTGCATATATATCCATATACATACCAGGGGATCCAAAAATAACAGGAATTTCATGAGTTTTTTTTAAATTTTTGAATACAATTTTAATCACTTTCAAAGTACTCTCCATTGGTACTAATGCACTTGGCCAATTGTTTATTCTACTGCTGGAAGGACATTGCAAATTTAGTCTCTTTGATACCTGATTTGGTCTCATTGTGATGTTGTGTTTGACTTTGTTGACAACAACAAAACATTTGCCTTTCAAGTCCCTTTTCAAAAAGTCTGTGGGAGCCAAATCTGGCAAATAGGGCCCATGGGCAGTTGTCTGTGTTGAGGCCAAAAACCAATGAACACTGAGAGCCATGTGTGCGGGAGCACTGTAACGAAGCAGGAAAAGTGCTGGAATTCCACAAGGCCTGATGTTTTCAAGCCAAACTGCTGCATGGCCATTTCAACACCTCTAAAAGGAACTGTTCGTTGACAGTCTGGCTTTGAAGGATGAATTCTGAGTATATGATCCTTTCAATATATATATATAAAGATCAGCTAAAAATTCGATTTAACTTGACAGACATTTTCTGGATGAGGCGAGTCTGGTGATTTCCTTTGACTTGAAATTGTCCACAATTTGGGGAATTAGTAATGAAAATTGGAAAATAGTGTTCCCGATTTTCAGAAATAAATTCATTTTTAAAGATGCCATATTTACAAGAATATAACATCTGTGTTGGTGTAAATTGCAGTTTATGGTCATGTTTGTATATGAACAGTTCAGTAACAAAGATTCTCTTGATTTTTAACATCGATGATGTTATGATGCCTGTGTCAGACATCTTAGATTTACCTACATATTAGGAGATCAGTGTTAGAGAAGAAAAGATGCATGCTTGGATGGATGTATGACAATTCTATTCCCACCACACTCTCTCAAAGTGACAATGAAATTATTAGATACATACTAGGAAAAGAGAACAATGATAAAGAAAAAGGGATGAAGAAAGAACATAAAATAAGAAAATTACATGGAAGGAAGTTATTAAATTAAAGACTCTCAGTTTCTGAGAGTCTTTCTGATGTTCATTTAGGTCCATACATGATCTTATTTCATTACAGCGACAATCTTGTAAGCAGGCAGACATTTTAAATTATATGCCATCATACTAATATATTTACCTTTTGCATAATAACGAATACAGTAATTTAAAAATGTTTAATTTCATTTTTCTGAAACATAAAATCATGTTATGTGTTTTAATTTTCAATAATTTGCATGATTTTTAAATTTCTTATTTAATTGTGGCTGATAGATCAAAAGCACTACTGAAGGACTTTGCATGCTATTCCTACAAATGGCATCACAAAACATGAGGAAGATGTTCTAGAAATACATATTCAATTATCCTGAAAAATCTCTTATCTGAAATCAGCATGTGGCTTCTTTGCTATCACTAAGAGGGATTCTACTGTATACTAAAAAATAATAATAATAATAAATACAGAACACATACCTCGTCCAGCACCAATATTTGGAAAGATTAAGGCACCATATCCACTTTCAAAAGCAGGTGACTGTCCAGGTACCAAAGGATAAGTCCAACCTCCAATCTGAAGCCAAGCAGGAGGTCGACTGGTGTCACCATTTGAAATAGCATCATGGTCAACAAACTGATAAATAGTCAATGCTGTCTGAGATGAACTAGCTGTAACTGATCCATCATATGACACAAAAAACAGCTGAACATCATTAGGTATAGAAAAAAGTTCAACAACTTCAGTACTCTTCCTCTGACTACCATTGGTGGCTGGTGGCTGTTTCATTTCAGAAGTAAGAGGGTAAGAAGAACGTCTTGTTTCTGAAATTTTCCTGCTAGCTAAAGGATCATCAGGAAGCAACTCATGTTCACAAGCTTCATCATAACTAGGAGGCATTTCAAAGGGTTCAGGTGGTGTGTATGGTGGACTGACACAATAGTTTGTTTTTGTTAGCTCTTGAAGTTGGCTTTTGATCATCTGAGAAGTTTTTCGCATTTTTTGTTGCAACTTAAGTGCATTATCCCATTTTGGACCAATGCAATAAGGCCGATCACATCGAACATTTAGAGCTTTATCTATTTTTTCAAGTCCTTTGTTATACATGTCTTTTGCAAGATCAATTTGCTTTTGTTCTTGATAAGAAAGGCCTTGTGATACATAAAGGTATGCTTCGTCATGGTTAACTCTAATTATTTCTAACTGTTCTAAAGCTTCTCCTGATGTGTTGTTGGCAGATATATCCAACGCCATTAAAACCTGAAACATAAATATTATTAAATGCTTTTAATACAATTTAATATAATTATTTTATTAACCCTCTGAGCGGCACAGGATTTTAGATCCTGTCATGAAGACCTGTATTTAAACAGCATTTATTAATTGAATTTGTATAAGTACTTATTTTAGTCTGTATTTTCATAAACTTACACTCACTAAGATGATTATTTACATTAAAGAAAGTAAGAAATTAAAATATCTTTAATAATAAGCTAATATATGCCAAGTAGCAAAACTTCTGATGACCGGAAAAAGCCGGCCATAACACTCAGAGGGTTAAACAAGAATACAAAATTACACTTTTGTAAAAGAATTTTTGGTAATACTTTATAACCTTCTGTAGCTTCACAAAAAAGTCCCCAACTTGTTGGCAACTTCATAAACTGGCAAAAATTGCTTGTTTGCTAACTTTACTAAGTTGTTGTTCCACTCATGAATAATTACAAAAAAGAAGCATTTTGTATAAAAAAAAAAGGAAAATTCGAAAAAAATAGCATAGGCAATATTTACACTTTTACAACCAGTAGATGATGTTCAGCAAATAATAAATGAATATGAAGTGTGTAAATCCATATGCATTCAGTTATAAGCATAGCATATATAGGCAAGGATTGACTATTGTCATGAATAAAAAATGACAAAAATGCAGTAGTTTTACCATACATTGAAAGCGGGAGATTCAGATAATCAGAATTATGTAATAGCTAATAAGATTTCTGCTTAACAGCATCAGAAAGTATAAGTATACAATTTAAGAACAGATGAACACTTGAAAAATACTTCAACTTCAAAATAGGCAATTTTACAGTGTTCTCCTTTGTTAAAGAAGTCACTATACTCAGTCATCAAAATTGGCGGCTCTAGTGTAGAATCTAGGCTCTAGTAGGTGCCCCTTCGATTAGCGACAATTTTATCTGCTATGCGCAAATTTTAAATTTCACCAAAGGCTCATGCAGTGGTCTCTTTAACAAATAGCAAAATACCTGACACATTAAGATCTCTTCAAACAATTTTGGTACTTTTCTGTTTTGCCAGCAAAAACGATAATAAAGTCGCCAACAATGGTACATCTGATGCCAAACGGAATATCTACGCTGGTAACCTTTTACGCCTCATTTTCAAAACAAGCCGCAGCCATTTCTTATTAGACTGATTGTTTCTTTCAATACTGGCATACAATTACATAGAATTTTTACAAGATAGTTAAATTTTATGCCCTAAGACCATTCACGATAATTAAGTCAATTAGAGTGCAATCACACCGCTCACCCATAAAGAAATGGCAAAATCAAGGGTTAAATTCATCCATTCTAATGAGAATGCACTAGCGAAGTAAAGCACTGAGGTTTTACATAATTTCTGAGTAAGCTATTCGTACGAATTGAAATAATTCTTGCATTTAAACTTGTATTCCAAATGAAGATTTAACTTGAAAATAATGTAGATAATTGCTAAGAGAATTAGATTTTTGTAGCATAGTTTATGTGATATGAGATCACTTGGAGTCATGTTATACGTATATGCGAATTAGGATGTTGAACCATGAAAGCATAGTAAATTCTTAAATTAATGTATTTTTACAAATTTAGTGTCTTTATTTATTGCCTTTTTACAAAATTTTAAACGATATTAAAATGTTTATGCCTTCAAAATAAAAATTTCTTAGAACTAACGTTTGTTAACATTTTTAATGTGTATACTGTATGTTGCTTGACGAGATTTGCGCTGGCAGAATGGAAAAGTGCGCAATTTTTAAATATTTTATTCATTTACCTCAAAATTCACTGATCATTCATACCGATCTTATAATTTTGCACTCAGTTCTCTATTCTTTTGCATAGTGTTATTTTCATCTTGTATAAAATAGATATGAGGCAGTTGGCTTTCATTTCTAATTGTATTCAAACTTACAAACTTAGAAAGTTCTCTACAAATGTATCTTTCACATTAGGTAGACAACCCTAGCATGCTGTCATAAACTAAAAAATTCAATCACTTTAGTAATAGAGAGCTTCTTAAATTTTACATTTAAAAAAGTCTTTTATGCCAAAAAAAAAAAAAAAAAAATCAAAGAGGCTAGTTTAAAAAAGTGGTCTCATGACATGGGGGTCATACATCAGTTCCGATATTTGTACACATAAAGAATTGGCAGAATAAGAAAGGAACTTAGCAATAAAGTGCTTTATAATTAGCAAAATCAAACCGTAACAAAATTTCCAGTTAAATTCATCAATAAACAAATATTTTGGTAACAACAAATCTAACATTCTGAAAGAAATATAACATAAGAGAAAGAATTTAACCAATTATCTTAGCAATTAAAACAAAATTTAAAATATTGTTTTCAAATGTCTGAGACTTTGGAAATTATTGATTTTAGTTGACATATATTTCAACATAAAATTAATAAAATGTATTGTATACGACTTTATGGTAAATTTATCAGTATTTATTATTTTAGATCTGAGGAGTGATAATTTTATGCTAACAAACCAATTTCGATGTACATTATTCATAACCGAAAAAATATATAAAATTTACCTTTTTATAATACCATCTAAATATTTGACTGGCATATAAAACAACACAGTAAGGCATCATCAAACAATTTAAAGTTTTATCATAACGAGAAATTCAGTTTGAATCTATACTCACTTTACTAAATGCGTCTTTTACGAAAACAGGAACCAGGAAAAATCAGGCATAATATATGACAAGAAATCAATTTCCAGCTACTTCTACGGTGTTATTACGGTAGTCACACTTCAACTTTTTTTTTAAAGAAAAACGCGTCAACTGTTGCCAATCTGAGTAAATTTAAATATTAAAATTTACAGTTGTTGATTTTTTTAAAATTCTTCTAACATGAATTTTTTAAATCAAATTATTTTTCAAAAATTCGAACAAAATATATTTATATTAAAAACTTATAATAAAATATATAACAAACGAAATATTCTTTATTTGGATTTAATTTCTTCAATATCTCAACTCGTAGGACGACAACTTCCATGCATTCTGCACTATCGTAAACAAATAAATTCTCAAACTTATCTACTGGATCAAGAGCAGAACCTCTTATTACTTTGTTATAGTGTCACATTTATGCATTCGACGTTCATTATTTCATATTAAAATTATGCATTCTGTTATTATATTATACTTGTAATTATTCTTGATTAGAAGGGCCTGGTTTTTAATTGGTATTTGAATAGTTTTGAGAGCATCTAAATTGATCATATTAATTCGTCATAGGCGAGAATAATGCGTATTTTCTTTTCTAGTAATTTGATACGAACTTATATCAGTTAGATAGAAAATTGATGAAAGTTTATAACTATTGAGTAATAAATATGTGTTCCAGTTGGCTTTTTGTGCGATGGCGGATGTGGATTCGCCCGGTAGTTATGATTGTATATGGATTAATAATTTTAATTGTGCTTCCATTATGCACTGTAAAATTCCAGCAGAACGGGACATCACCTCATATGCAAGCATGGTTTACTGGTGGTGTTTTTGTACTCATGGCTCTCCCGATAACATTTTGGGAGATAACTCAACATTTAGTTCATTATAATAAACCATACTTGCAAAGATACATTATTAGGTGGGTATATTAATGGTCTTTAAATTTACAGTAATGTAAAGTTGTTTGCTTAATAATGTTTGTGTATGACTTGTATTTCTGTTTTTAAAAGTTATGTAATATTTATACAATAGTTCATATTTGTTTTCAGACGAGTGAATTTCAGTTTTATTTCTAAATATCTCTAAATATTAGTGAAATAAATGAATTCACGTAAATAAAATGACGCTTTGAACAAATGTTTTGTATTTTATAAAAAAACATGAAAATAGCAGGAGATTCCATAGTTTGGTGGACATTCTTTAGTCAAAATTATATTTTTTATGCACTGTGGTGAAGATTCAACTAATTTATTTGTGTAAGAATGTTCTATTCTGTACTTTCCTCCTTAAGAATTTTTTTTAAATGTAGCTTTGGAAGAAATATAGTTCCTTTTCTCCAATTTAACCATACCCATTCGATAGGATTTAAGTCTGGAGAATATAGGGAGTTTTAATAACTTCAGGACAGTTGTATAAAAACCAGAAGGGAACATTTACAGTTTATGTGTAGGATCAGTGTCCTCATAAAACTTGAATGTATTTTACATTCCAAGTTTTAAGCATATTTATATATTTATACTGAATATAGCCACGAGATTTTACCTCATGCAGTTAATCCCTTAATTCCCTTTGTGAAGGGTAGAACTGATTTTATTCAAGTGGTGTGGAAGAAAGATGTTCCTGATTCAGTTTTATAGGCTGTCTTTTTTGAAACTATAAATACCAGATATCCTCAGCCTGAATGGCATTGTATCACGGTACAAAATTTTATCTGTAATCATCCGGTGAATTTTTACGCATCTACCAATTATACATATCTTCCTAATAATGTTAGAAGAGGTGACATTCTTGATATTTTAATCTCTGCTACCTCCATTCCCATTTATTTTGATACTAAAATTGGCCTCACTTGAGACCATATTCTTGTCATTGTAACTCTAGGCAGAAGTAAAATCTCAGGTGATAAATTTATCAATAGAACTGACTGGAATAACTTTCATAATTTTCTCCTAGACAACTCTCCTAACATCAAAAGTTTGAAAACTATGCAAGGTATTGAAATCACAATTGATAACTAACTTCTAGAATCAAAAGGGCATATAATCATGCGACACAGAAGGTCCCAGCTGATCAAAATCCCTAGATTCTCCCCCAGTACATCAGGGAACAAATCAAAGACCAAAATAGACTGAGGAAAAGGTGGAATCTCACCTGGGACCCACATATTCAATGTCAACTCAATAAAATCAACCGCATTATTAAGAAATATATAGAAAATTATAGGAACGAAAGATGGCATGACAAAATTCAAAGTTTTAATGAGTCAGGAAATGCCTTCTGAAATTTTGCCAAGAGACTAAGAAACACCTGTATGCAATAAACCAATTAAACGAGGTTCTACTATTGCCATTACAGATAAAGAAAAAGCTATGCTTATAGCTGACCATTTAGAAGAATCAATTAGTACCAAATGATTTCCCATGCGATCAAACTTTCGCCTACAGCATTAAATACTGCATCTAAGACTACCTTAATGGCCCTTCTGCAAGATATAAAAGTGATTTTGCTACTCCTAAGGAAGTTACTGATATTATTAAACAGTTTATAAATAAAAAAAGCCCCTGGCTATGATGAAATCACAAATATCACTATCAAGCATCTACCTATTAATACTATCACCAAATATACCAGCATTATTAACACCTGTCTGGATAAATCCTATTTTCCCATTCAATGGAAGATTAAAATTATTCTAGTACCTAAACCTGGCAAAGGTATGGCTACACCTGAGGGCTATCAGCATACTGCCCAGACTTGGAAAGATCTTTGAATGGATTATCCTGAATAGAATGAAAAAATATATTAACAGGCTCCCTCCTGAGCAGTTTGGATTTAGAAAAACCTTATCCACTACTAAGGAACTGGTACGTCTTGCTGAATTTATTGGATCAGCCCTACACAATAATCAGAAAGTCGCCTTACTTATGCTAGACATGGCAAAAGCATTCGACCACGTATGGCATGAAGGGCTTATCTTTAAGCTGAACAGCAACTTCTCCAGAGAGATGGCACAACTTACCTATTCCATCATCAAAAGTAGAAAGTTCTGTGTGTCAATTAGAAAAGATACTTCTAATGAAAGAAGAATTAGAGCCAGCGTTGCTCAAAAGTCAATTTTATGCTCAATTCTCTGCCTCTTCTATGTCTCAGACTTTCCTAACATTCATAATGGCATAAACAACTTTTTAGGATGCTACACTGACAATACGGCTCTTGTCATAAAGTCTCTGAGCTCTAATAAAGCGATTCAAAAGCTTCAGGAAATTATACGTTATGTAGAGCATTGGTGTGTCAAATGGCGAATTGCTATTAATGCTGAGAAATCACATCTTCTGATCATTAGCAGAAATAAACCTTCTAGGCAAATTATCAACGCCAGATTAAAACTCTTAGACACTGATATTCCCATGGTTAAGAAAGCCAAGTACTTGGGTATTACTATTAATAATAGACTTAAATGAACTGATCATATAAATAATATCAAATCTTTTGGAAATATGAAGCAACTTATGCCACTTTTAGGCAAGTTTTCTAGTCTTTATCTCAAGAGAAAATGCCATATTTATACAGCCATCATTCGTCCTTTACTGTGTTATGCATGCCCTACCTGGGCTACTGGCAAGTAAAAAGACCTCAATAAATTACAAATTGTTCAGAACAAGTTTTTAAGATTAATTACGAATGCACACAATTTTGTCTCCACTGCTACTCTGCATAAAGACTTAAGAATTGATTATATCAAGGATTTCATTCATAAGCTAAACGATAACTTCTTCAAAAAAGCTACTATGTGTCCATTTATGAATAATGTTCAAGTTTTCAACTATATCATTCTGCAAGAAGACGGAGATTTAAAACCCTGTGCGGCCCACCTCTGTGACTCTAATTTCCCGACGTAGCTCACTTTGTGTATATACTGTAATATAGTTTTTTTTAGTATTTATTTTATATTATTCAAGAAATTTTCTCTTATATTTAATCTAGCTTTTTATTTTCATTTTATTGTATTACTTATGAATATATTTTGTTAATGTATTTTATTTCAGTTTTGTATCATGTTTATATACGCTTTTCCACCCTACTTATCAGCACTTATTCATTATGAATTAATTATCTCTCTGCACTCCGTATTGTCTCTCGTGGTCTTATTGTCTGGTTTTTCCATCCTTGTGACGCATAGTCATCTCCTCTTCCCCTTGACTCAGTTCCTCCTTTACCACCTGTTATCTACCTTCAACGAATCCCACGAACGGGCTGGCTGCATGGGCATTTTCGTGGTTTTCCCCATGTGAAACGTGTATACAAGCCAGTTTCCCTTAGAAAGCCCTCCACGAAGGCATCCCTTCCCTTAGGCAGATAGCCCTCAAGGCTTTGCCATAATCACACATACACATCTACCTCCAACTGCCACGTGCCATCACGGCAAATCATTAGGAGCCGGTAACGTCGCATCTACTAGCGACAATTTGGCAATATATATATGGACTGGACTGGATCTGAATGGCTACATGTGTATACTGACAGATCTCGAATGGACCTGGTAGAAAATGCAATCACTGGGGTGTTTTCAGAAATGTTTGCGTTCTATATTAACTTAAGGCCCAAATACCATGCCGTTCAGTAATCCAAGTTTGACAGTGTGAAGTTGAAGCTATTAGATTGACCAGTCAACAACCATTGGCAAGAGTGGAAGACTTTGCGAATATTGTTATACTGTCTGATTCCATCTCAGCAATCCAAGTAGTTTCATCTCTGCATTATCTAGACTTTCGTAGACTTAAAGTGAATTTTGAGTTACTACTGGAAAAAGCATAATGTACTGCAATGAATGCCTTCACATTGTGAGATGTATGGAAATGAGATGGCTGATCTTGCAAAGAAAGGGACAGTACTCAAAAGGAGATGCCATACTATTCAATAAATAGAATAATAAAAAATACTTTGAATAGAAGCTGTCAGACAAAATTATCAGAACTTATTAGTAAAAAAACTTAGAAAGAGACTCTTGAAGGGATTCCTTATTTCCAAGACAGCACGCTGTCACTGCCTTCAGGCTAGAAACAAGCCATGACTGTGCTTTGCTGGTTACCTGTACAAGATTCAGAATATTGTTGCGTGCGTACGGATTCGTTACTAAATGAATGCACAAGTCCGATGAAAAATGAACAAAAATTTATTATTATCACAACAAAAATGCTTAAATTTTCTCAAATTATCACGCAGTATTACAATATCTCACAGTAGTTTTCTTTTAACTACTCAAATGTCCAATAGAACGTAATTCAAAACAGCTAAAGAACGCTAATCCGCGAATTCGCTACAATCAACAACAGTAGTTTTCTAAACAACAACAAACTAAGCAACTACTACAAACTGAGATGTTTTCCTCCTTTTATAAGATTTTAAAATCACGCGCTAGAATTTTCCAGTACTTTCTCGAAATCAAAAAGAGATATTTATTTATTTAACGCACGCGCTCTTGTATTTTTAATTTTTCCGGCTTAGCTTTCTTTTAATATTCGTCACGCGCTGCACTGCGCGAGAAATAAAACCATTTAATTTATAATTGAACTAACATTAGCTTTTTAAATACCAAATTCGTAACACTGCCCCCTTCCCAAGGACTGCACGTCCCGGGCAGTACAATCCCTGGACAGGAAGCTAAACTTACAACTGTGACATAAATGCAACTGAGGCATAAACATTACATTACAATATCAAACAATATAAACAATAAATGCAATAACTAACTTAAACAAATCAAATGCTATCAAATACTAAATACAAAACAAATACTAAACGCAAATCAAATACTAAATACAAATCAAATACTAAATGCAAATCAAATACACATTTAAAAACAAAAAGGACCATGGTCTGATACTATTTACAATTATTTACATTACGTACTATGGCCAT